AGCGGAAGCTGCAGCTGCAGCAGCAGCAGCAGCAGCAAAGAGAAGCCGTGCTGCTGAGACAGAAGGGACAGCAGTAAACGCAAAAACCCTAAACCCTAAACCCTAAACCCTAAACCTCTTCGATGTCCTTAGGTAGCAGGAGCCCCTCTATAGGTAACGAGAAAACGGTACCCCCAACCCTAAACCCTAAACCCTAAACCCTAAAGCATCTTGAGTCATAGTTAGCCTGCCAAGGCCAAACAACAAAAAGGAATTCCATGGGGGCCCCCGGAGGCCCCCGAGATCCTCGGGGGCCCCCAAAAGCCTTGGGGGCCCCTGAGATCCTCGGGGTCCCCCGAGAGGCTTGGGGGCCCCTGAGCGCCCTGGGGGCCCCCGAGAGCCTTGAGGGCCCCTGAGGGCCCTGGGGGCCCCTGAGAGCCCTGGGGGCCCCTGAGAGCCTTGGGGGCCCCTGAGAGCCTTGGGGGCCCCTGCAAGAATTGGGGGCCCCTGAGAGCATTGGGGGCCCCCGCAAGCATTGGGGGCCCCTGGGGGGGCCCCTGGGGGCCCCCTGGTTTATTCTATGGGGCCCCTTTGAGGTACTGTTGGCAGCACAAGCAGCACCCGGACGGACTCCAGCTGAGGTCAGGCGGCACACAAACCCTAAACCCTAGTAAACGCTAAACCCTAGTAAACCCTAAACCCTAAATATTGGAGAGCTAATCAAGAAAAAGAGAGAGAGAAGCAAAAGGAAAGAGCTGCAGATACACCCGAACTCACTCCTTCATTCTGCAGCACCACGGACAGCCAGCCGTGCACGGCCTCATCCTCTGGAACCACTGCAACACCGCAGCAGCTCAAACCCTAAACCCTAAACCCTAAACCCTAAACCCTAAACCCTCGACACTAACGGTGATGTCTAGGGGAGGGCCATGACGTACGCAGCGCCACAAGACCCTCAATCTCCTTTCCCTGGCTGTTGCTGCAGTCTAGCAAGGCCTGAAACGCAAACCCTAAACCCTAAACCCTAAACCCTAAACCCTAGAGCGTACACCGTTGACCCTAAACCCTACGGGAGGTGTAAAACCCTAAACCCTAAACCCTAAACCCTAAACATGCCTTGAGGCCAGCAATGAGGTGCTTCGTGAGGACCGAGCGGACGAAGGAGACATCTTCGAGAGCTGCACACACAACACTAAACCCTAAACCCTAAACCCTAGACCCAGGAAAACAAACTGGGGTTTAGGGTTTAGGGTTTAGGGTTTAGGGTTTGTACAAACCTTCCTGTCCCTCGGGCACGAGACGGCTGCAGCGAGTATACATCGCCTTGGCTGTCACCAGGTCAGATGCTGAACAGACAAACCCTGAACCCTAAACCCTAAACCCTAAACCCTAAACCCTAGACTCCAGTTGGTGTCTCCAGCATCAGGTGAGCCGGGCTAGGGTTTAGGGTTTAGGGTTTAGGGTTTTGCTGACCCGCTGAAACGGCCAAATCAAATGCATTGCAGTCCTGAGGGTTTATGCTGCCCTCCAGCGTCACCTCTTCGCTACCTGCAAAAACCCTAAACCCTAAACCCTAAACCCTAAACCCTAAACCCTAATCCCATTTAAAAGTTGCCATGAGCGCCAAACAGAGTCGGAAGTGATACCAATGTAGGGTTTACGGACTTGTAATTAGGGTTTAGGGTTTAGGGTTTAGGGTTTTTAGGGTTTAGGGTTTAGGGTTTTTAGGGTTTAGGGTTTAGGGGTACCGAGCTTCCTGAGACGCTCCAGCATAGCGAGGAGACTCTTCACGCGGGGAAGCTCCAAATTAGACTGAGCACGCAAACCCTAAACCCTAAACCCTAGACCCTAAACCCTAAACCCTAAACCCTAGTCCCTAAACCCTAAACCCTAAACCCTAGCCCCTCAACCCTAAACCCTTTGCATCGCATTATACACCGTGAGTGTAGATCACTAAGCCTGCTCTATTGATGGGTGC